CTTTGATCCATTTTCGAATCGGCACATTTTTTCGAGCAAATTTTGAGAAGATGAAGGAGGGAACGGGGAAAGTTGCAGTGGCGGCGGCGGTGATAGGGGCCGCGGCGGCGGTGGGAGTAGCGGCTTATATTGTCAGGCAGCGGATGAAGAGCTCCGGGAAGTGGGCAAGGGCTTTGGCGATTGTGAAGGAATTTGAAGAGAAGTGTGGGACTCCAGAAGTGAAACTTAAGCAGGTGGCCGACGCCATGACGGTGGAGATGCACGCCGGATTAGCCTCCGAGGGCGGAAGCAAGCTTAAGATGCTCATTAGCTACGTAGATAACCTCCCTAATGGGTATTATTCTGAATCACATAATTTATAGAGTTTCAATTCCATCTTAAAAGTTCAAAGTTTTCTTAGTTGAGTATTTTGTGTTTGTATACAGAGTAAATCTTCTATCCTTTTTCAGTGCATAAAGTTAGTTTAAAATTGTGGGATTACATCTGCTTGTATGTGTAATATCGTATCTAACACACACAGATTTATTGATAATTTTTGGTTCTTCATAAAAATTTACGTTGTTGGCATAAATTACGGGGACAAAATAAATATATGGGCTTTATCTGTGCATTTCTTGAAAAGTATTTGATGGTAAGAACTTGTTTGTTCTTAAAAGAATGTAAGTCCTTAAGTCAAAAGCTGCTTCTGAGATTAAGAAGCTACTTTTGAACCAGTATTAATAATTTTCTGGAAGAGCTTTATTTGGCTAGAAGAGCTTTTAGAAGAGGTAGATTCCTCTTTTATAAAAGCAAAAGCAAAACAAAATTGAAGGAAGAAGCCCTGCCAAACCGGGCCTAATTGATCCTTAGAGAAAATTAGTATTCTTCTAGTTTGGATTCACAAAGTCTGGGGTTGGGGGCTAACGAATAAATACTTGTTAACTAATAATATTTGTTTCTGTGATTATTTGAAAATGTTACAAAAGATTAGATAAATGTGAAATTGTATTATTACTTGTCTTGGACTTGAAACTCTATTTAGTTCAATCTCTTCTATACTTGCTTCAGTAATAAACAAATCATTTCTTACTCTCTCACTTCAGGATTTGGAAATTGATTTCGTGCTTTCAGGCATGTGGGCTTTTCTAGATGACTAGGTTAAAGATTCACTTCCCTAGAAATCAAGACTAAAGATAAGAAACTGAAGATTGTAATGCTGAGTGGAGCATCCATAAATTTTGAAATAGATTCTTTTGTGATTGTAATTGATTCTGATTAAATGTATATTTTGTTAAATGACTAGCTGAACATGTCTTTCCCTTATCTCAGTGACGAGGAAGGAGTTTTTTATGCATTGGATCTTGGTGGAACAAATTTCCGCGTATTGAGAGTGCAATTGGGAGGGAAAGAAGTTGGTATTGTTCATCAAGAATTTGCCGAGGCATCAATACCCCCAGCTCTGATGGGTCAAACTTCAGATGTAAGCAAATAATCCTTTTCTATTATTCCGTTTAGTTCATTTGGTCCATATACACAATTCTGAATTTTTTTTAGAACCTTTTGATTTCAGGCGCTTTTTGATTATATAGCGGAAAAACTTGCAAATTTTGTTGCTGAAGAAGAACAAAGGTTTCAGCAACCTCCTGGTAGGCAGAGAGAACTAGGCTTCACTTTCTCATTCCCTGTGATGCAAACTTCAATAAACTCTGGTAATCTTATCAGGTGGACGAAAGGCTTCTCTATTGATGATGCGGTAAATTTTTTTTTTCTTTTTCTCTTGAACATATTTTGCGTAGTTTATCTACATTAATTCATTAGTTGAAATCAGTTCCATGCTAGTCTTTAATTGCAGAAATTAAAATATCAATTTTTTGAGAATCTTCTGTGTAAACTTTGCTCTTTTTCAGTAGTTTTATTTGATACTTTCAACTTCCAATTATTTATTTGTCAATCTCCCTAAATATGTATGCGATGCCTGATTTATAGTCATAGAGTTTACTACTTTGCTGCTTTTCAAGCAATAATTTGTTTTCCAGAAAAATTCAACCTTGATCCTCACCTAGTAGTTCATCGTTTTGATGAGGTAAGACTGCGGGGCGAGAGAAAGTTTAACAAAAATGTAGGATGCAACAGGTAAATTGGTAGTTACTTGTGCCATCCAAAAGGATATCTGAGTCTGATGAGGCACTCCAAAATAGATCTACACTCTTGACTTTTTACATTGATCAACAAAACATTTTAATGCCATTATGGTCTGAAGTTTGCATTTGCTTTCCTCCACTTGTTTGTATGAAATCTGGTTTTTGCGTCTGCAGCATTGCACCTTTCTAGAATAATTATACCAAAAAAGACCTATTTCAGTTCAGTTCATGAACTTTTATGCATTAACTGGAATATTCATCCTTGGGATGATTTTTCTGTTCTTACAAAGAATGCGTTATTTGACTCCAGAGTGGCTTAACCCTTATGTTTCAATCCTGATAATTCTATTGTTATAGGTTGGCCAAGACATGGTAGCTGAACTTACAAAAGCCTTGCAAAGAAAAGGTGTTGAAATGAGGGTGGCAGCTCTGGTAAGTTCCAGCATGTTTTGCTAAGCTTAAAACACCTGCTTTTTTGACAGCAAGTAAAGACTTCACTGTCAAAAAAATCTGCACTGAAAATCCAAAAGGAAGTAACTTATTTAAAAAACCCCGAACATGTTTGGCAAAAAAGTGGCTTAAAAGTAACTCTTTAGGCTTAGACAATCATGCTCTGTCTGTTTGCTGCTGATGAATGCAATCCATTATTAAGTGACAAGGATCCTATATTTGGATATTTATGTTTTGTTAACTATGGCGTCCTATACGAATATCATTTTAATTCCTAAATTCAGATGTACATGCACAATATCTTTGCTAGGTGAATGATACAATTGGAACATTGGCTGGAGGCAGATATACCAATAAGGATGTTGCTGTTGCTGCGATATTGGGTACTGGAACTAATGCGGCATATGTAGAGCGTGCTCAAGCAATTCCGAAGTGGCACGGTCCGCTGCCTAAATCTGGAGAGATGGTTAGCAAATTTTTAGATGGCTGATTATTTGCTTTATATCTGCGGTGTGGGAAAACCAGAAATAGGCACAGTTATAGCTTACAACTGTTCAATTAAAAACCAGGACGAATACTTGTCAATTGCCAAGTCTGGATTTTTCCATCGACTTTAAAAAAAAAAAAAAGGGTTTAGGAGTGATTAAGCCTCTAAACACATTGAGGTTATGTCATTATCAATATCCTTGATATCATAAAACTTTATCGTTGGTTCCTTTTTTTTTTTAAAAAATTGAACTTTTGTTTTATGGCATATGTATATTTATCTAATTAACTAATTAATTTTGGCATCCGGTTCAACTTGGGTTCAAGCTGAGTTCAACCCTTTAGACCATTGACCATTCACCTTTCCCGAATCAATGCCTGGGATGGGTTTCAAAACATTGGTGGAACCTGGATTCTGCTGTAATTGACATTCCGCTTACGCTAGTACAAGATTTTGGGGCTTAAAAAGTCATAAATAATTATTGAAGCCTTAATCCTTTTAAATGCAGGTTATCAATATGGAGTGGGGTAACTTTAGGTCGTCCCATCTTCCATTGACGGAGTATGACCATGCATTGGATGTCGAAAGTTTAAATCCTGGTGAACAGGTGATAAATTTTCCATCATATGCTATTTCATTTGTAGTTTTCAGTTAAGACTCAGTTTTAGTAGGAGTAGTGTACAATGCTGCAGGTGCAATTCTTAAATGCCTCACCACTCTTTAAAATTTGCAATGGGTTTACCCTGGACAGGAAAATGTACTCTATTTAACAGACCGTGTTACCTATTTTTCAGATATTTGAGAAGATAGCTTCTGGCATGTACTTGGGAGAAATTTTACGCAGAGTTTTACTTAAGATCGCTGAAGAAGCTGCTTTCTTTGGTGACGAGGTTCCGCCCAAACTTAAAATTCCATTCATATTGAGGTACCCTAAAGACTTGAATATGCTTGTTATTTTCATTGCAGTAAGATTTTGAAAATAATGGGTATATCACTAAGTCAGAAGCCATCCAGTTTTAAGTGCTTTGTGAAATCGGTGTTTTTGGCCTATATTGTCAATGTGGTTAATACATTTCTAAAAATATTTATTTAATGGATTTCCCATCACCGGTGCTAAACTGATGCTTGAGGAATTACCTAGATCGTTTCGTGATTTTTTCTTCGATTGGTGGAACCAAAACTGAAAAGAAATGAAGTGGAAAATATGAGGTTGCTAATGCAAGAAGTACTCAAGATACAATTTGCCTTCAGAAGGGTAGTGCAAACCATTGCTTGCACTACCTTATAGGCATGCATCCACCTTCGCATCCAATGGATTGATTTCATTCCCTGGAGATATTAGTTACGTTATCGGACACTAGATAACATTTTTTTTACTTCTTTAATTCTGTTTTAAACCTTGTCCAGTAAAGTCCAGTCCAATATACCAAACGTGCTAGCATTGTATAATCTTGATACTGCTTTCTGTTTAGGTTTATATAGGTTTTACGTATACATAATTTACTCTTAGTTCTCCTTTTCATGCACGAATTCGGGTTCATTTGTTTTTCAGATTTTACATTTCCCATCTTTATATGTTATATTTTCATTGAATTCATACTCTTGAAAAAAGTTAAATTTGGAGCTATAAAATTATGCAGGACGCCGGAAATGTCAGCAATGCATCATGACATGTCCTCTGATCTTAAGGTGGTGGGCAACAAATTGAAGGATATACTAGAGGTGTATTTTATTTCCTCACTAAAATACTGCCTTTCTTGTTGATTGTATCTAATTGTTCCATTCTTTTTCTACTTTTTATTTTAGTATGAAACTTGGAGTCATAATTTAAATTTGAATTTTTTATTTCTTAGTTGAACACTGGGTAAATTGTGGCATACCCGGATTTATTTTCCTGTCATAACGTCAAACAAGATCCTTAGTAGTGTAATTACAGTAACCTTTACATTTTTTGTCTTCTCAATAGTATATTCATAATGTTTTTCATTTTTCTCTTACCTCAGATATCTAATTCCTCCCTGAAAACAAGGAGAGTTGTGGTTGAGCTCTGCAACATTGTTGCCACGCGTGGGGCTCGGCTTGCTGCTGCCGGTGTTCTGGGCATCCTAAAGAAAATGGGACGGGATACTTTGAGGGAAGGAGGGCCCCAAAAGACTGTCATAGCCATGGACGGTGGACTGTATGAGCACTACACTGAATACAGTAAGTGCTTAGAGAACACATTGCGAGAGTTACTCGGGGAGGAAACTGCATCAAGCATTGTTGTCGAGCATTCAAATGATGGTTCGGGCATTGGGGCTGCTCTTCTTGCAGCCTCCCACTCCTTGTACCTCGAACATAATTCATAAGAAAAATCACTACCTTTTCCGGTGAAAACATCATCCTGAAACTACTTTTAGCAAGTGTAACTTTAAATTTTGCCATTGCTTTGGATTTATTTCCTATATTTTCCCATTAGTTTGTCCTCATATTTCATAGTTTAGGAGTCTAATATTTAAGTTTTTATGGGAAACAATATATACAGAATCAGATGCAAGTGAGAGGAGCTGCAAGTAGCCTCTACTCTTCCAATAAGGGTCCCTAATTCAAGAATTTTTAGTTGTTTTTTGCATTCATCTGTCCTATGATTGCTACTGCATTGAGTGCTTTCAGATTCTAAATTTATGGTTGATTTTCTTCTTTGAGTTATGAAAAAGAGATATTGTGGAATATCTCGAAGTCGTCTCTTTTTGTACCAATTCTGTTAATAATGTGTATCAAATATGCCGCTTTTCATTTTAACTGTGCACTGCTAGCTCCACCAGGAAGGGAAAATGATTGATATTTAGATTTTCGCTAGTCGACCCTGAATTTATTGATAACAAGAAGTGTGAAAATAAAACTTACGGGACAGTGTTGTGAGTTCAGAGCTTTTCAACATGCTTAGCCTCTTCACGGTTGATACAACCGTACATGGAAAGCATCGGTCACAAATCAAGCAGTCCAATTTTCCTCAAAATATGCCTTGCTAGTGATCTCTTACAAATTTTAGCCTTGCTATGGATTAATGAGTGGTGAAAAAGAAATTTCTTTCTTACAAAAGAAGAAAAAGATTATGCACTTTGTGCTTAGACAAGAAATGCATGACTCGACATTATAATATACAAGATTTTATATGTTTATTCTTTCTTAGCCCCCGTTTGTTTCTCATTTTTCATTTATAAAAATGAAAAATATGATCGTTATCTATCACATTAAGCCATCAATTTTGAATTTCTCTCTCCTGTGTAGAGCCAAATAACGGTTATATTTTTCATTCTCATTCTACAATAATGAGAATCAAACGGGTCCGTAATACAGTTTAACATTGTCTACTCTACATTACCACACAAGTTGCAATTGCATGGTAATATCTTCTTTGAAACTATCGAGCGGATGAGTACAATATAATCCACCTTATTAAATGAGTTGAAGAGATTTTAAAGATGGAGATTTACCTTTTGTTATCTGAGCATGGTGGAAGTAACGAAGCATGCTGACGTTGCTGTCCCTAATCAAAAAATTTAAGCTAGTCAAAAGATAGATTAATGAGTGCTAATTTGTTAAACCATCTCGTCTAAAAGTCTAAGATCATAAAGATTAATGACATTCTTTTTATCTTAAATTATGTTATTAATAAGGTTACGATATGTCCTGTTTAATCTAAATTTATTTATGTTTATTATAAACACTTAAACCACTTTTTATTCGCACATTGCGATTAACCCACAAATAATACTTATTTATATCTATTTATAAACACTTCCCAAACGTTTATAAAATTACGGGTCCATTATTCTCGTATAGAATCTCAAATTGTAGCTTCACGATACCATCGAATCAACATTCCGCACTCCTACGATACTAAATGGCTCAAGAAATCTTAGTTGCGAGTGATTTGAAAAGATCCACGAGGGATGAGGATAGGCAAGGATCCCCAACACATACATACATCGTACCTTGACGTCATGTTTAATAGAATGATAGCGTGAATAGTATTAATATATTTTGAAGGATTAAACTAGTTGTACAAACTTGGTGTACATTAAATTTGATACTTTATGTATTATCAAAATCGGTGTTATTCATTGTTTAAAGTGTTATTAAAATCAATATGTAAAAAGCAGTCACCTCACAATAATATCAAATTTAATGTCGACGAAGATGTACATGTAGCATGATTGGATTTTGAATATGTGGAAAACGATTGGAGTCCAACTGAATTCATTAAGCATTCGAACTTTCTTCAGGGTCAGCTTCATCACCTTCAGTGTCCACTTCTAATTTCCCGTTTGTTTTTTCAGGTGTCAAAACTCGCCCAGTCATAGGATCAACCGGGCGTGTGTCTCGTGGGCCACCTTTTCGTCCCATTGCTAGCATTGGCGGTGGAGGCAATAAGCCTGCACGGAAAAGAAGGCGTTGCACAGGTTCTGAGGGTTGGGCACCAACTGAGAGCCAATATCTGCACAATCAACATACATAAGAGAAGAAAACCATAAAAGAAAACTTGTACACTCCATTGAAAGAGTAAATTACGATTAAGAAGCATTTTATCTTCTTCCCAACCAACTGATTTGCATCTCCAATGATGTCGAATAGGTAAAAGTTGCATGAATGCAGTCCACAATCTTGAGCAATGTTTCATTTGGCAGAATAAAATAACCAAATGTAACGTGCAACTTCAGAGAACAAAATCACCAAAAGTATAATGTAATTTCAGAAGTATTAAGGGAATAATTTCGAAAATTTGAAGAACCAAATGAAGCAAGTAAAAGGTTCAACCAATAATTCGAAATTTCAAATATAGGATATATTTGGAAAATTGCAACATGGAAAAGAAACGGGTGATGCATTTTTCTAACACTCTTCCTTTTATTTTTCGTTTTATAACTAATAAGCTATTAAGAAAGACACAGCACCTCGCACGATTTGGGTGCACTACACATTACTACTTCGTAAGATAGGCGTGAGCATTTTGGGCTAGTTGGCTGATACCAACATAGCTTGTGTTAGTTGTCTCACCCAGATTTTTAATCCAATATCATTGCAAGAACCAGTTAAAAGTGTGCATATTCCTGCCGCGGCTACAGAAAGATGCATTGAAAAGAGGGATTACAAATAGATACCAATGAGAACTAAAAATTCTACACGTCATGGAAACCAAAACCACTCTTAAGAATAAGAAGAGCTGACAGCACATCGATCAGACATAGGTTAACACTTCTAGCTAGATATTAAGCCCCGGGTTGGTATAGCCTTTAAAACTCATTTTCAACTACTCATTCTTCCAATAAAATAATTTTGCAGGTGGACCCATAACTTTTCCTACTTTTTAACCACACATTCTCCAAAAGAATCACTTTTCACAAAATCTATTCTCAAAATATCTACATCAAACTGGCCCGAAATATGATAGTAACCCCATGACTTCCACTCAACCTGAGATTAAACCTCGGAAAAATGCAGTTGTGGGCTTTGTTCTTGTACGACAAAAAGGAGAAATGATAGTGGATAAGTTTGTTAAATTGATGTATCATGTCACTGGCTAAGCAACACAGATAAAAAGTATCCAGATATCATTCTTCAGTTACCTAATAAAATTACAGAAAAACGTATTGGAAGTCCTCAGCAACAAGTTAGCAACAATTTAAGATGACGTGAATGGAATTGCCTAGCATCAGTACAAATGAAAAACTAAGTTTTCTCCGTGAATCCATACTAATAGATCGATGCCATGAAGTTTCGACAAACAAAAAAGCAATATTAATCTTCGAGTTACCACAACATTTCTTTTGCAAACTTGCAGTTGATGAATGCATATATCACATTACATAGCTCACAATGCACAACAATGAAATATCAAAACACGGTAAAACAGTGTATACGACAGTTAAGAGGCAGTAAAGTTTCTGGAAAAATCAACCTGAAATCTGAATTAAGATTTGTAGAACACTTACTTCACTCTGTCAAAATTAAGACCCATTCTTTTACCGTCATCTTGACCTGCATAATTTCATAAATCAGAAATAATTAGCAGCCAAAGACCCTGAAATTCCCAGCTGCAGTTAGCTTAAAGGGAGAGAAGTATATAAATTTTCAAAAATATATGTCAATACGTGTAGAAAGATATACCAGGGAGGGGATTGTAGTAGCCCAAAACTTCCAAATGCTTGCCATCTCTAGGAGATCTGCTATCAGCTGCCATTACTCTGTAGAATGGCTTGTTTCTACATCCGAATCTTGAAAGCCGCAAACGGACCACCATTTTTCCTCCTCTCACTGTAGCTTGATTTGCCTTCAGTTATTAAATCCCTCTACTTTCTAAACTACGGAGCAGGATGAATTAATACCTGATTGTTGTTAAAAAAGTTAGTAACTGAAAAAAAAAAAGTTGAAATTAGGGTTGGGAATAGGGGAGAAATGGAGAGAGAAATAGAGGGCAGTGAGAATCATGAATGGATTTCGGCCCAGGGGCAATTGAGTCATTACATTAAATCTTCAAATTTCGAAAGGCACGTGAAACGCCTTTATTTGAAAATAGGACCTAGGGTTTTTCATTTGGGGGTTACCATTCTCATCCTCCCAAAATCAAAGATCCAATCGAATTTCTTAAATTATCATACAGGTACTATTCCTCTCTTTCGTATCCGAGTTATTGCAAAATTCGATTAACAAAATAGTCCAAGTTTTTAAAATTGCCTTCCCTCTCACTCGCTCTTTATCTGTGTAGTACTCTAATTTCATGGAAAATTATCTTGTTTGTTTAAAAATTCAAGCATAAACTTTCCGTTAGTGTTCTCAATCCAGCTACAAACGGTTTGTATTTGTTAGTGTTCTCGATCCAGCTCGACTGAGTTTATGTTTACGTCTATATATTGTATGTGTGCTTGTCCATAAATTTTTTTTTTCCAAATTGGGATTTATGTCGCGAGAGTGTTTTTTTTTTTTTCCAGTCTTTGACCGTGGAAGCTACAGATATGTATTTCTTGTCCTTTATGCATTAACATGTGAGTTATGAATTGGTAAATCAGTTTGGGTACCTTTTGAAGACATTCACACTGGGGGTTGAAATTGAACAATGGTTCAATTGTGTGCCATCAAAATCATGATTTAGTTTCTACATGCCCAGTCATCTATAAAGGCTGTAAATAGAGGATTAAGTTTGTAAATGGATGGTTAATGTCTGCATTTGTCATCTAATGATTTTTCTCTTTGTGCATATGTAAACAGAAATGAGTGCATCAGTCCATAGAACCCCCAAATCTGGGGGTCGATCCCGGTTCTATCAAGATTTAGCAACCCCTGTATCTTCTCGAAGATCCACAGGAAAATTCACAACTCCAGGTCAGGCAGCTGCAGTTTCGGCTCTGTGGCATGAAAATTTTGCTAATCCTGATCTTCCGCCTCCTCCAATTTTCACCCTAGAAGACCGGTCTGATTTTTCTCCAGAATCTGGGATTCCGGACTATCCTGTGTCTCCAGAAGTAAAATCTGATTCTAGAACCCCGGTGCAGAGTACAGTCAGGGAGTTTTCAACTCCTATGAGCAAGTCTGAGGCGAGCACTTCATATGCTGGCACAGTTAAGCAGCAGCAGAGTCAGCAGAGCCCTGTGCTGGGTTCGAGCTGGTGGTCGCCTGCAAAGAGTGCTGGCAGTGCAGATCGAGTTGATAAAGGAAAGGGTTCGCCTGTTGAAGGTGTGGTTCAACCCGGTGCCCTGATCACACTTCCACCGCCAAGTGAGATTCAGCGACCTGAAATGAAGAAGAATTCAGTAACTGCAAGCAACCTTGATGAGAAGGAATGGGTCACTGTCTATGGGTATTATTTGACGCATCTCTTCCTGTTTCATAATGTTTTTTTTGGCATTTAGATCATCTTTAGTTTTGTCCAGAAAATCTGATTATAATATCAACGATCTTGATAAGTTATTTCCTTATTTTTCTAGCCTGGAGTTCTAGCTTTCTTTATGTGGTTCATTTAGAACTTCTCCATGGTAGGAAATCTCGGCCTCTATATGTGGATTCTCTTTTTCTCTCTTCGTTTCTGTCTAGTCAAAATAATGTTTTTCCTGTTGCATACAAAAGAAGAGTGAATGGTGAGAAGAGGGCATTCCATTCTATTTGGGTTTATAAATTTCTTCTCCATTTCAACTACAGGAATTTTGGCACCTCTACATATAATGTATAATCTTTTCAATTGATGGAGTGGACCCCTTCAATTTGTAATGTCATCGTTGGTGTGTTTCATCTCCTTCCACTAGCCACCGTATAGTTTCTGGTCTTGTTTTTTAGCTTCTTTTATTGTTACTTCCTTTCGTGCTCTTTGACATGATGAGACTTGCTAACATTATGTTTATCAGAGGCCAACTTAGAATAAAAAGCTACTTTTTTCTTATTCTATTTTAACTGTACCTTGTGAAATAACTTCACAATCGTGCTCCTAATATTAAGTAGCAATTATGTAAGATTGTTGCTAGACAAGAAGTGCACAGTTGTATGAACTGGATATAAAATTGAGTTTATGCGATCATCTTAGACCATGCTATTATGGTCTGCTTGCTGGCCTGTAGAGGGAACTTATCGAGTCCTTCGAGAAACTGAAGGAGAAATCAGTACAATTACTCTTTAAAAGAAGCTTATCTGAATTTCATCAAGCTGTTAGCAGAGAAATTGGAGGATCTCTTTGGGAAGTAAGAACCACCCGTGCCATTTTTTTATTCGTCATTCTGGTTGATGAGCTAAAAAAGATAATTATATGATTGAAATTTAATGGTTTAGATTCAAACTATATCGATCCAGTCAAGTGCCTAATCTTGAAATTAGCAAATTCAAAGGGAAGAATGCTGAGTAGTGACTTGAGAGAGGATGAACACGGTGATTGTAATAATCGGAACATGTAGTTTCAGTTGGAATGTAAAATGAAGGTTCTATGAATCAAAATCAATGTGTAACGTGCTGTATAATGGGGGTTTGGTGCACGCTGAGAATTCCACAATTTTGATTCATATCAAACTTGAAAAATTTGCCTTTATCCATTTATTTGTGTTTTAATATTTGAATATTCATCCATAACCTTTTATTTTATCTCCTCAAACTTACAAAGCTTGTAAATTCACCCTAGTCAATGTTTTAGACTTACAATACTTTTCAAATTTTGAATTTCAGATTTTTGCCAGGTGATACAAATGTAGTTTTGCGGGAGTTCGAAAAATGCGGGGTGATTCTAAAACATGTTCCTGGCCCAAGAGTAGCTAATTGGATACATATTCTGTATCAGGTTATTTTGATGCTATTTTAAGTTCATTTTACTCAAATAGTTTAATTGTATTTTTCATTTTCTTCATGGCTATTGACATGTCCATCTTATGCTAGTAAGAAGGTTTTGAAGCCATTTATTAATACGGTGAACTGGGAGAAGCTGCAGTTTTCTTATTCCTTTATTATTTATCAAAATTAATTGATAATTTGAGCAAAGATAAAACTGGAATATGGTGCTACTCAAAAGACACTTAAACAATGATCCAAGTTAGACTCAGTCGTGCAATTTGAAACATTATGGGCAAGTCTATCGATAGGGTCATCACATATTCCTACTTTTTTGCTGGATGTTATATGGTATACATGACTTTAGATTCAGGATCTGGGTTATCTTGACGAGTAACATTGTATAATGATAGAATATGACTGATACATAAATCACTGGATTTTACACTTACAATGTGGATTGTCGTGAAGAGTCGTATTAAAGTCTTAGACTATATTTCTGATTTGTTTTTTTTAAGGTTGGGTGAAGTATACATAGTTTTTCCTCATGGTATTTTAGGTTCATTGTCATGTTTTTGGTGATATTCAGCATTTTATGATGTGGTTTGGCCTATGATGTTCTTTCAGGCAACACATGAGGTTTGCTTCTTTGAATGTGTATGCGACATAAGAATATATTTATTACCTGGATATTCCAACTAGCGCTATAGATGATTTGTTTACTAAATTGCTCGTGCAGAATCGATCCGATGCTCAAAAAGCCCTCAGCAAAAATGGCATGCAAATAAATGGAGTTCTTATCATTGGAGTGAAGCCTGTTGATCCTACACAACGCCAGGCTCTAAATGAGAGGCTTCACAATCAAGGATTTTTGCCAATACCCCCGGCACAATCAAGAAGGAACTTGGAGTCTAATGGTTTTAATGTCACACCTCATCCATACTCTCTTCAGGATGGAAGTTCCATTGCACGGCAATCTGGTGGGACTGTTGCTGTGCCTGCCAAATCAGCCGTGTCAAAAATTATGGACTTGATATATGGTGTCTGATTTAAAAAATTTTCCCTACCTCTCTTTCCTCTCTGTGTGCGTGTGTTTTTTTTTTGGCTGGCGATTTTACAAGGATGTTTCATTTATAACTGCTTTATGCTCAAATCCGTTGGATGCAGCAGTTGAGGTCTATAAACTTTGTTTTTGTTAGCAGGCAGTGTGTTGTGAACATTTAGCTACAAGTTTTTTGTCTTGCATTGTAAGTGTGTATTTCCTCAATTCTAGGGTTAAAGGTTGTGGAAAGATACAGGTGTACGTACTGTTACCATTTCTGATGAGGATCTATGGATCTCCTTTTTTGGGGGCAACCTATTGTTTTTCTCGTTTTAAATTTTTTTTTCCAATAGTGTGGTGGCTTGACTATTTGTGTGAATCGTTAAATGTGTTTTTGTGGGCTAAAATTGGCCTGGCCTGACGTTGGGAAAATTTCTCGAGCATTCCTCGCCATGGAAAATTTTATGTTACACGAGGTAGAATATTCATTTTCAATTACATTCTTCAATAAAATAATATTTTTCATCACATCAATAACTTTTCCTTCTTTTTCAATCCCATATTCCTAGTCACGTCACAAAAAAAAAAAATGCACTCTCCTTAAAAATGTGCATCAAATGCACTTTTATTAGTGATACTAGAAGAAGCATAATTCAACTATACTTTATTACGAGACTCCTATGCAACGTGAATTGAGTTATACTCAACACACATTTTGAGTGGAAAAATGTACGTCTAAGTAAAAGATAATAATAATATTTCATAAATAGACTATTAATAACTTCCAATATATTGGGACAAAGGACGTGCCTAACATTTTTTTATGTTTTCTTTCTTCAAGGCTGGATACTGAAAAATAGAAATAATAATAATTACTTAGCCCATGTTTGGTTTTGTTAAAATTTAAAATTTTGACAAATTTTGATGAAAGTTGATGAAATATGTCATTGAAAAGTTGATACAAATTACGGGTTCAATGAAATGTGTGATTAAGTTAATTGTTAATTATGACTTAAATTTTTATTTACTTTTTTTAGCTAAAACAATTAAGTGCTTTTCAGCGAACATTTAGCTCTTAGATTTCTTAATAATAGATTTTGTGATTTTTTTTTTCTAAGAATGTGTGAATAAATTTATAATTTCACGTGCAAAATTATTTTAAAGAGAAAATGTGTATTTAAAAATGTGTTTGAAATTTTAAAAATGGCCTCAAACAAGGCTTAATAGAAAATTAAAAGAAAATGAATTGGATTGAAATATTTATATAGTTTTTCTTTTCCTCTACCACTATTTTGGAAACTCGTGTGCAATTCTCTACTACAAGTAAATCGGGGGTACATAAGGGTGTCCATAATGGACACCCGGCACCCCCTATTGGATGAAGTGCCGATGGACACTCTTATGACACCCCTAATGTACAAGTATCATTTCCCTTCAATTAATCCAAATAAATAATCATGTTTGACGTACAATATTGTTGACAACATGAATTTATCTTTCATATCGACACTTTTTTGCAACGTACAACATTGTCAACAATGTTGTGAACAAATAAAATTTTGCTACTTCGCCAGATGATTTTTATCCTCTTTGACAAATGTGTAGGTGGATAAAAGTGATTAGATAAAAATGATGATTGTATTTAAAATAATTCAATGATAGAATGTTACGTGACATCATGTCGTCCCATCTGATAAGAAGGATGGCAGTGTAGCATGATTGAAAAAAATATTGTACAAATAGATTTATTCAAAATAAAAATTAAAATTCGAAGTTATTAAACGAATCAAAAGTCAAAACGCTGTGGAAATGAACCATACTGCACTACGATAGGCTGCAAGCACACCGTATATTCCCTCTACTATTTTTACAAATGTGAAAAATGAAGAAATTCTAGAACCTTCTTACTGAGCTCCCAAAGCACCCTATCTTCTTAAGCCCTAACAATAAGAAGTCTCTAACTTCTACCTTCATAAACAGTCTCTCTTCCATTAATCAATTCCTGGTTCTTACAATTCGCCGGGTAATATTTTCTTCTTCTTTAAATTACTATAATTATTCGTCATTTTACTTGTTTGAGATGTTCAAGCTCGTTACAAAGTAATTCATTGAGTGTTTCACTTTGTTTTGAATTTAAATGCAATACAATTGTAAGTTGAATTTATGCATTCTTTTTTATGATTGCATTGTTTGATGATAATATTGAATTTCTCTTTTAAATGAAATCAGAAGAAAGATAATCCCGTCTGGATAAATTTGAAGGATTAACATGCTGAATTTTAACACTGTTTGGGCATGGAAATGTGAATGATTTCTTATTTTTGTCTTTTTTTTTTTGGCTATTGGTGGAATAAGAAAGAAAACGAAGTGTGAGAAAGGCAAAGGAGAAAAAAATATATATATATTAGAACTCGGACATTACCTTCTTTTTTTCTTAAACAATTGTCAATTAGGATATAATTTTTCACGAGCTTTTGAAAGAACGGTTTTTAAATTATTTTCTTTTCTTCCTTTTTTTTGCGCACTATTTCTTATATTTCGGGCCCTTTATATGCGTATATTTCTAATTTGATTATATATGAGATTTCTTTGAAATGGGTTTTTCACGAGCCACTGTGCTTATATTTGTTCTTATAGATTTTGAGAGAATATGGCTTCAACCTTCGCTGCCTTGTCTTCTGTTGGTTCTATTACTTCAACCAGTGCCTACGTAGCAGATAAAAAGCTGGCAAACACATCTGAGGCATTATCTTCATTTGGATCCATATCTTCCAGTTCATCTCGAGTCAGGAGTAAAAATGTAGTTCTGCGGAAAAGTTGTAATCTTAAGGTTCAGGCTATGGCCAAGGACTTGCACTTTAACAAGGATGGTTCTGCAATTAAGAAGCTGCAGGCGAGTTTGCACATTAAATTGGCGAGATAGGCTCATTTTGTTGAATACATTTCAGTTCACATCCAGTTTGTGTTGCTGCAATGCCTTACTTTTGCTAGTTTTCCATTTCAGGCTGGTGTTAACAAGCTTGCAGATTTAGTGGGTGTTACCCTTGGTCCAAAAGGAAGGAATGTAGTTCTTGAGAGCAAGTATGGCTCTCCAAAAATTGTTAATGATGGTGTAACTGTAGCTAAAGAGGTATATAATGCTGGCCATTTGAATCTGTATACAAAAATAATGCAATGTGATCATTTTGACGGTATTGGTTTTTAACTTCAAGTTCTACACAATCTGAATGTCCTTTGTAGGTTGAATTGGAAGACCCAGTGGAGAATATTGGGGCTAAATTGGTGAGGCAAGCTGCTTCAAAGACAAATGACTTAGCTGGTGATGGGACAACTACATCTGTTGTACTTGCACAGGGTATCATCACTGAAGGCGTTAAGGTTGTACATATTAAGGGCACTCTCTTGCAAATATTTAATACACTATGTCCGAGCTTTGAATGAGTGTTGTTACTAGACCTTTTTGGTGCTCATTTGTTCAGGTCGTGGCAGCGGGTGCAAATCCTATTCAGATTACAAGGGGTATTGAGAGGACAGCTAAAGCTCTGGTGTCTGAGCTCATGTCAATGTCAAAAGAGGTAAACTTGAATGCTCTATCTGTTTATCTTACTGTACAGATTGCAAAATTCTTGATTTTTCTGTATTTAGCCCTTGAAGCAAAGGCAACTTTCACCTGGCATTTTTTTTGTGGATGGTATGTTAAGTTCATTTCTTGGGACTCTCCTTAATTTTCTCGTGATTGATATGCAGGTTGAGGACAGTGAGCTAGCTGATGTAGCTGCAGTTAGTGCTGGAAATAATTATGAAGTGGGAAATATGATTGCAGAAGCTATGAGTAAAGTGGGCAGAAAAGGTGTGGTGACTCTTGAAGAAGGGAGAAGTTCCGAGAACAATTTGTATGTTGTCGAAGGCATGCAATTTGACCGTGGTTATATTTCTCCGTACTTTGTCACAGATAGTGAAAAGATGGCTGTCGAATATGAAAATTGCAAGGTATTTACAATATCTTCGAGATAATCTCATTCTTTCTATTATATATATTGGATCCAGGATATTGACTTACTTTTATTCCCAAATGACAACTGCTCTTTATGCAGCTTCTTCTGGTTGACAAAAAGATAACAAATGCCAGGGATTTAGTTAGCATCTTGGAAGATGCTATCAGGGGAGGATATCCAGTATTAATAATTGCAGAAGACATTGAGCAGGAAGCTCTTGCAACCCTTGTCGTGAATAAGCTAAGAGGATCTTTAAAAATTGCTGCTCTCAAAGCCCCTGGATTTGGAGAACGCAAAAGCCAATACCTTGATGACATTGCTATTCTCACTGGAGGTTATCTACCTTCTAATGATTGTAGATAAGCACCGTGTGTCAACTATATAAGTTAACCCTGCAATAACTTATCCTTGGAAATGTGTTCAGGTACCGTTATAAGGGAGGAGGTCGGTTTATCCCTGGATACGGCTGGAAGTGAGGTATTGGGACTTGCTGCAAAAGTGGTACTGACCAAGGACACAACAACAATTGTTGGTGATGGGAGCACACAAGAGGCAGTAAACAAAAGAGTTGCCCAGATCAGAAATCTTTTCGAGGTGCGATTTTTTGTGTGTGTGTTTTTTTTTTTGCTCATATGATTTTATTCAGTTAAATCCTCTGTGCATCAAACATTCTAAAATCTTGGTCTGTCATGCAGAGTGCTGAACAGGATTATGAAAAGGAAAAGTTGAATGAAAGAATTGCAAAGCTCTCAGGTGGTGTTGCTGTTATTCAGGTGATTCCTTGGTTACTTATGTACGGTGTTGTTGTGGTTGATTACTGTAGTCCAGAACATTGTTTTCTAATATTCTTATCCCTGTACATTTGTTTTCAGGTAGGTGCACAAACTGAAACTGAGCTTAAAGAAAAGAAACTGCGAGTAGAAGATGCCCTCAATGCAACGAAGGTGAACTTTCATTCTGACTTGCTACTTGGACTTTAAAATTCTTTCTGAAATTATAATATTAAATCATTGCCAGTAAATCTGTTAAACAGAACTCATAATTTTTGGTTGCTACAGGCAGCTGTTGAGGAAGGCATTGTAGTTGGCGGTGGGTGTACCCTGTTGCGGCTTGCAGCAAAAGTTGATGCCATAAAGGATACCCTAGATAATGACGAGCAGAAGGTAATGCAGGCACATATTTTCTTGGTCTACACTATATCCTGGGAAGATGCAATGCTGGATTTTGTGTAGTTGCTAAACAAGGATTAATTAATTGACTGGCTGCAGGTTGGAGCAGATATTGTTAAAAGAGCATTAAGTTATCCAATGAAGTTAATAGCCAAGAATGCAGGGGTGAATGGCAGTGTTGTAATAGAGAAGGTAAGGCTTGACTCAGATGCTCTAGTGCCATGTTTGGAATTATCTGTTCGCGAGTTTTTATCTGAATCATGTTTGATTGATTTCGTTTCTTTGTTTAGGTGTTGGCAAACGATAATCCCAAGTTTGGTTACAATGCTGCAACCGGAAAATATGAGGATCTAATGGCTGCTGGCATAATTGATCCCACAAAGGCAAGATCCTTTACTGCTTCATCTTGTTACTAGACATTAGAGCAGTATGAATGTTGATTAATAAGGATCTATGAAGTTATTTATTATATAGCACCTTAAAACAGTTACTTAAGAAACATAAAATCATGTGGGAAGCAGGTTGTAAGATGTTGCCTGGAGCATGCGGCATCCGTGGCAAGGACCTTTCTTACATCTGATGCTGTAGTTGTCGACATCAAGGAGCCTGAATCCGTACCTGCTGGAAATCCCATGGGCAATTCAGGTAGTTGCCGTTTCTTATTATCCAAACTCCTCAAGCACAAATCTAAATTTGGACTAAATGGTTTCCAATTATTGCTTTGATCAGGTTATGGTTACTAGATGCTGCAGCATGTGGGAATTGAAACAGTTAGATGACAGAATTCTGCAATGTCTTTTTCACCGGCTTATTTAATTTATGTTTCGAGGATCATAAAAAATTGTTGGCAGTTTTCAGTATTGGGAATGCTTAGTTGATTTTGAATAGAATCCTGAGATGTATTTTTCTTGCAGTAGTTGTCATCACTGGCAAAATCTAGCTACTGGAAAATTGTTGTTCTCAATAAATGGAAATAATTTGTCCAGTTAATGGCATTACTTACTGAGTGCTCATTTGGCGGAGTTTTGAAACGTCAAAAGCTGCTTTCGGGATGTGAAACTATTTTTAAATATATGTTGGATAATTTTCTAAAAATATTTTGCATGACTGCTTTTATAGAAAGTTGATCTAAATTAACTTTTTCAGAAATTCTTTTACAGTGAGTAGAAGTGAAAGCTCAGCTCGACGAGCCCTGAATTGCCTTGGAGAAGTGATATGAACTTGAAAGCTGCTCATTGCTAAGGGCATGATTGGCAAAGATTACCCGACGATGTTAATTAGTTCAAATTTATACTTGCGAACAAATTTTATTTTTAAACTTGAAGCTAAAAAGTACTTATTAAACACCTTTTAAGCTTAGCCAAACATGTCTATCTACACTATCAATAGTGTCAACGTCATTGCTCCCGAATCTATAACAATATCAGTGAACTAAAATGTGTGAAGGATTCAAGATTGGAAAAGGATACTTATGGGTCAATTCTATTTAACATAGGTTCGAGTTTGAAGCGGGTATTGGAGCATTTTCACTAGAAAATATGGTGTTTGCTTGCTAAGAAAATCACTTTCTTGGGAGCTGTTCTCGATCATCGGTGTACATCCCGATTCGGCACTCAAAATAAATCTATGATACAACAATAGCAGTCTTTTTCCGATTCAACAAGAAAATTGGATAAGAATTGATGCCAAATTGATCGTGTTTAAAAAATTGATTCAAATGATTCAGCACAATGAAATCAATTTCTTATGTTATTTTATTGAAATAAAAGTGAAAAACTATGGGAAACCAATTGGATTTTTGCCGTTGCGGGTGGCGGGAGCAAAAACCTATGATTTTGAGCTTGAGGCGTGTAATATTTTATTCAGATAGGGTTTGTTTATCGCTCTACCTGCCTCGTTACCTTCGCTTCAAACTCTTTTATATATAGACAAAAATGTTTCCTTCCCTTTTCGCTGCTCCTCTATTTTCATGGCTGCCTTTTTTTCTTTGCGCCCATCTCAATTCTACAATCCGTAAGCTCTCATTCTCTATCTTCTATCTGTCACTCAGTGTAGTGTATTTTTGTGGGTTTGCGTGATGCTTCAGAACTCCAATCTTCTTTAATTACTTGATTGAATTCGAATATAGTGTAAGAAATCGAATGTTGAGTTCTTTTACAGAGATAATATTTGTTCGAGAACTTTTTTCTTCTGTTGATATGTACCTTTTTAGAGCTTATGAATTTTATTTCCCTAATCCCAAAAGGGACCTCAAATTATGTTTCTGATATGAGTTTTGTAGGTACAGAATCCTATAGCAATAGGATTAGAAACCAAACTTCTTTTGATTGTTCTAATACAAGGAAAAATGCGCTGGAATATATCTTTGATACATAGTTGATTAGTTGAGGTACATGCTATACGTGATAGAACTCTGGTCCATTTGATACATAGTTGATTAGTTGAGGTACATGCTATACGTGATAGAACTCTGGTCCAACATTCGGTGCTTCTTTAACAAGTAGCTTGACTTTTGTACTTTTGATGTGGGGTAAAGCTGAAGAATTAACACACACTTGCATTTGTGTTGTAGAAAAGCTTTCCTATCAGATGATAATTTCATATCTTGGTTAAATCCACCGAGCCCGGCAAAGATATACGTAAAAGAGCAAGAGAGGCATGGCCTAGCTAAATATATTATTCCCCAAGGCCTTCTCTTCATTCGTCCATTCTCATCCCGTATGACTTCATCGAAATTGATACCTATTGGAGGACTATCTTCAGTGGAATCTGCAGCTGAGTCTGATAGAAGAATTGCTGAGGCCGAGTATTCTTTGGCCAAGGCTGGAGGACATGAAGTGGAATTTAATCGTGTGAATTGTCTAGTATGGGTATTGCATGAATCTGCTCGAAGTTTCTCCCTTGCAATACAGTCGATCGAATTGGCTAAAACAGGTCCACCACTAGCAATGGCATGGAATGGAGTCGATGTCAATGCCTGGCATAAGCACGTTGCATATCAGGTATGCACACACTTTGGAGTAATTGTGTATGTTGATATACACTAGTATACATTTATATGTGTGTGGGGAGGGAGGGAGGGCGAGAGGGAGAGAGAGAGAGAGAGAGGTTTTGTAGCATTTACATGTTGATTTCCCTGATACTTGTGAGAAATGAGATAAGAGTAAGGTTTAACTTAAGATTATCCTTATTCAGGTTGCAGTGTATGCTCTACTGAAAGCAGCAATTGAGGTGGAGTTATTTCTTTCTCACAAACGCAGCAACAACCCATCTGTTCTTGAGATGTAAGTCAAGGGGACATATCATGGAAACTAAATAGTCCTTGGAAAGTATTTTTCAAAAACTCGTAATCATATTTTTATGTACCCGCGTGCTTGTGGTAATTGTTAAACAGTAAATGATTACATGTTACTCTTCTTTTAACAGTTTAAACTTGTAGATGATATAGTTAACGTGATATCAGAGCCAAGCAAAATAATTGAATTCGAGCCTCGCCACCGCCCATTTAAACAAAATTGTGCACACCAACCCCTGATCAAAGAATGGAGTGGGTCTACACTAGAAGGTTCTTGTTGAAGACACAATTAAATGAACGCGTGTGACCTCTCTCTCTCAGCTTGAGCTTTTAGATTAGATGTTTAACAAACAAAATGAATAAATTTAAAAATTCAAGTTCTTTATTTCATCCGTACAATCCGTTGCAGTATGCCTTTATTCATTGTATTGAGAAATTAAAAAAGAATAGAAAGATTGCTGGCAAGGTCTTGAAATTTTCTTTTGTCATTTGCACCAGCCTTTCGCCGAAGACGAACTTTCTTGGATTGCAAATAGAAAGTCAGTTAAACACCAGGAACCCGAAATTGGTGCAGAGGTTTAGAATGGTCGAACTTCCACGGATAGCTGGATTATTTATCCCTTTGTTCAAGAAGTGGTCATTGGAATACGCAGGAAGGTTTGTCCATTTATAATGTATTTCATTTTTCCCTTCCTAATTTCTCCTGCTACCTTGCTGTTGGGAGAAATCTAAATCTTGAATAAATTCAGTGGTATTGCAGGAACAATCATGGGTATAAGCTGTTGTGCTGCTGTCAGGAAATTGGGTTCAGCACGAATTTCTTATCCCTTATTTTCAAATTCAATTGAAGAGGCATTGATAGAGCTTATGACTATGTCACACAGTCTAGTTTCTCTTGAGAAATTGCATCAGCTAGCAACTGAGGCTGGATTTGAAGATAATTTTCTTTCCCATTTTGGAAGTAAGATTCTTCCAAGTAAGAATGTTGAAGATATGGAATTTTGGATTGGACTGATTCAGAGAAAGCTTTCTACTGCGTTACACAGAGAAAGTGTAACTTCAGGCAGGCCCATTAGCAAGGTTATTCCTATTCTTTATCACATTCAATTTAACATACCTAAACCTACTAGTTAACTATGGAAAAGTTTTCCTGTTTATAGAAATCTATTGTTCGCTTGAAATCCTGAGGGAATACCTTCAAAATTCCGCTGCTTTCGTATTTTTTTGTTTCTCATATGACAACTATAATTCATTGTCTTTTCGAGATATTAGCAGGTTCAAGAAAGTTGTTTGATTACTCTGGGACTTTTTGCATATCTAGGAAGAGAAACAAGATTGTTCTTGTGGAAGCACCATATAAAAGATCTTGATGAACAAATTAAAGATTTTCTTAGGTATTAATATTTTGAATTCCGAGTTTATAATGTTTGGCTTTGTGCATAGATCTTGATGTAGAAGAGCTTTCATGTTCATTACAGTTATTTAGAGTGTGGTATCCCTTCCACGTTTCCTGAATTTTCAACCATATCAGAGTATCAGCTCGTAATGGAGGTCAGTTATTTATCGGAACTTAAAATTTAATAAACCAGATGGCTTAAAATTGTTGTTACCAGGTAATTATCGACGAAATTGGATGGGTCGACTTTTATGCTGCATATAACAGTCATGTATTCCAAGATAGGAGAAGGTCCAAAAATCATCCTATTCAGGCAGAGCAAGAAATTATTTTGTACACCATTTTTACTGTATGCTATGATGTGATTTCGGGATTCGCCCACTACAGCAATTCAACTCAACAAGCCTTAGATTCTAATTTGTTAGAATTTTTACTTAAGAGGTGATCAAAGTTCCATTATGGCATTTCTATAATCTACATTACAGGGTTTACTAGGTTTTGAGGTTGATTTTGTGTTCCATTGTTCAGTCAGGAACTACTATCCACATGTCTGGAGGACTTCTGGTCTGCTTATGATGGAACAAGGTATGTTGGCTTTGCTGGATTCAAACTGAAAATCCATTATGGCATGTTTGTTGTGGAGGAACTGATAAGCCTTGACAATATTAAGGACCAAAAATAAGTTAAAATCTCTTTAATTATATTAATGATATTGTGTACCAAACATGCACTTAATGCATTGCAGATTAAGAGTTTCATGCCTTAGACAGTACTGCGAAGTTTCCATAATGTTAACTTTGTTAAGCAGTGACATGCAGAAAATAGGGGAAAGAAGTGATCCTGACTTACTGCCGTCATTACAAATTAAGGGAACCAAAAATTCATCTCTAATAATGGAAGCACCACAGAGGCCAGCCGACTTGATGACAAGGGGAAAACATCAACACGAATTTATCCAGTCTCAGGTATGGATACTAGATGGATGACTAAGAAATATTGTGTGTTTACTTGGTTAATGACCGATTAAATATTCATTATTTAATAGAGAGAGATAAAAAAAATCCTCAGTAAACATGCCAAACAATATGTAATCATGTGCAATAACCTTTTGTCATGACTGATGATAGTGTATTTTACATTCCTTTCTATAACAAATAATTTCTCAGCGTAATTGCAATGTATGATTTTGGAGAAAATGATAAAACCGGAAAACCTAGCAAGACAATAGAAAGGAGAGAAGCTGAGATGTGTGCTGTAATTTCTTGATTCTAATTTGTCAATCCTAATAAGCATCCATAGGATATCTTTCCTATTTTATTTTATTTTATTTTTTTCCTTTGAAGCTAGGATATTATTTGAAGATTTAATCTAAATGGCTACAAGTTTCCCCTTTTTTATCACTTGCTTTATAATTAGATGGTTCAACATGATATTGGAGCAGACGTCACGTGTGAGGCCTTTGATGAACAATTGAATCGCTTTGCTTGTGAGGTGGTGCATTGAAGACTAAATGTTTAGAAATAAATATGTCCACTCAATGAGATATTAAGCTTTTAAATGAGATGGTTCAACAATAATTATTAGTACATATAGAACACTAATCAATCTGTGTTATGTCCTCACACTCTTGCATGCACCTAGGTCCCTTTCCAACTATTATAAATAATTGTTAGGAATGACAGGCCAATGCTAAAAACCTTGCTGGTTTAGATTCATCGAAGCCCATCCATCAAAATCTGCTTAGAAAATCTACGACCAAGATGGTATCTGCAAGTGTTGTAAGTTCACAATTCCCTTCTTTATTTTGGGTCATGTATATTGTTCTGACGCTTGCTAAGTCTGCAATATGAATCATATCATAGGATATATGGATGGGAACTCAGATACTTTTTGTAGACATCAAGTACACTCTGCGGCTTTTTACGAAGCAATTATGTGGCTATAAGGTCACAAAAAGGGAAAAGAGGAAAATGCAAAGAACACTTGCTGACATTGCCACCCTCATCCCAGTAACAATTTTAATGTTACTTCCAGTAAGTTGATTTTGAGATCTGAACATGCAACTTCGGCTTTTGTTTTCTTACTTTGAGGTTGGATAACTGTTTGTGCTTAACAAAGTAAAAGTTGAATGTGCGGAAAAAAGATAAATAAAAAGTGCATAATCTAGGAATTGAATAGCAATATTTCCATTACTATATTCCGATTATTTATTCTAATATTGTAAACAGGCGCCATTGCTTTTGATCATAGCTTGTTGACTATTTCAAGATTATATTTAAAAAAAAAAAAAAACAAAAGGAAGTAGCTGAGCTTCATTTTTAAAGGAATTTTGAGGTTCCCTTGCATACATTACTTTTTTGTTTGAGACATCGAAATTCCAATATTAGGTTTAGTGCTTGCAAGGACACATTCAGATATGCTGATGATAGGGGCGGAGCCAGACTTTGAACGTAGGGGGGGCCTAGAGGTAGAGGTAGAGGTAGATGTGAAGTGGTGGGGGCCCACGGGGGTTCAGGGGCAGCGCCCCAGGAATTTTTTTTGGATACATTATTAACAAAAAAATCAAGAAACATATAAAAGAAAGTACTAATCTTTAATTTAACAAAATCATACTTTGATAACGTTATATAACTACATTATAATCGGGCGAAACTCGGGCGAAAAGTTACTGCATTGGTCACTCGAGTGAGTCTCTAGCGAAAGTCGAGCGAGGGTTGAGCAGTCGTCAATATTTTCATCATAACTTTCTCTACCGATATCCGATTTTGATGATTCAAATTCCGTTAGAAAGCTAACTCGAAGGGCTACAATTCTTCTAGAAATAGCCAGATCCAAATTCCAATGTTTTCGATGTGAAAAATGAGTTGAAAGTGGTAATTAAAAAAAAAA